GGACAAATGCAAGAATTCTAAATGTCAAGTGATCACACCAATTTACACAAGAAAACAGTGCTGACTGGAGAAAGCAATGGGAACCTATAGGCTCCCCAAGCTCCTGGGTAATTCACAAAAGCTACAAAGGTTCAAACATATTCTGAAATAAAATAAAGAACAGCCGATGCTGGAAATCTGAAACAAAAACAGAAATTGCAGGTTTGGCAGCATCTGTGGTGTGAAAGCAAAGTTATTGTTTTGGCTCCAGTGGCCCTTCTGCAGAACTGATAGAAGCATCACTGGATCCAAAACATTAATGCTGCTTTCTCTCCACTGATGCTGCCAGGCCTGTTGAGTTTCTCCATCAATTTTTGTTTTTTGTTGATCATATTTTTTTTTTTGCAAAGAATGGGTCCCTTTGTATCACTCAGTATGTCACTTCTAGCAAGTGCAGATTAGACCCACTGTGAGCTCAAATGATTATCTTAAATTGAAAGTTAGTGTCGCTATCAGCGCACTCATGATTGTTGAGCAAGTTCTGCCTAATCACAGAAACTCATCCAACAGTGTATATTTTGTTTGAGGTTACATAAGCACAATCTCAGCTGACTTGTTAACTAATCAGCACCTTGTTCTCACATGCTATATATTGTTGTGATCACAGGAGCATAGGAAATAGAAGCAGGCGTAGGCCATTTGGGCTGTCAATCCTGCTTTGCCATTCAATCAGGTCAAGGCTGATCTTTTAACTCAACTCCACTTTCCCAAGATATCCCACCTTTGCTATCTTTAATACCTAGAAATATATTGATCGCAGTCTTGAAGCCACTCAATGACTTGAAGCCTCCACAGCCCTCTGAGATAGGGAATTCCAAAGATTCACTGCCATTTGAGTGAGGAAATTCTTCCTCATCACAGTCTTAAATGCCTATTCTGAGACAATGCCCCTTGTTTGTCCCCTGATTGTTTAAAATTTGGAATTCTTGCATTTGTTTTGATGAATTCAAGATGAGAAGCTTTGGCAGCAGGTCTTTCGTTTCAGCAAAATTCAAGTTCTGTTCTATCAGATAAACTGTTACAATAGATCATTCATGTGGGAAGAAGCAATGACTAGGGTACTGATCGGTTAGAACAACAGCAACAACTCACATTTAGATAAGATTCAGAGATAGTAGGAACTGCAGATGCTGGAGAATCTGAGATAACAAGGTGTAGAGCTGGATGAACACAGCAGGCCAAGCAGCATCATAGGAGCAGGAAGGCTGAT